TTCCCCTAGAGCCGGCACCCTGAATTTGGACTTCTAGCCTCCTAAACTGTGAGAAAATAAATTTCTGTGAAAGCCATCGACTTGTGTTATTTCTGCTGTAGCGGCACTAGATGACTAACACAGTGATAAAGGGTGATCTGTTATGAAAGTCTTGAGAGGCATTCCAAAATAACATGTTAACAGTGTCAAAAGAGAAAACAGTTAATAGAAACCTCTTAGAAGATGTGAGCATACTGCTAGCATGAAGGACAATATTTTGTTTGCCTGGTAGATTAAGGATACTTTTCCTTTTAAGAAAAAATAAAAGTTATTTGATTATATTTCAACGTTAGAAAGGTAAAATAATAAATAAGTAGAAATTAAAAAACCAAGTATAATCTAACTAGATCCCTGGTGGCACAGTGGTGAAGCACTCGGCTGCTAACTGAAAGGTCAGTGGTTCAAACCCACCAGCTGCTCAGTGGGAGAAAGATGTGGCAGTCTGCTTCCATAATGATTTTCAGTCTTGGAAACCCTAAGGGGCAGTTTTGCTCTGTCCCATAGGGTTGCTAGGAGTCAGAATTGACTCTATGGTAGAAGGTTTGGTTTTTTTGTTGTTTATAATCTAACTACAGAAGAGTCGAGGATGGAAGTGTTGGCTCGGGCAGAATGGGTCACCGAAACTGAAGAATCCGAAGGAATCTGAAGACTCTCAGGGCAGGGCTTCCCCAAAGGACTTGTTATTCTTTCTAGCTCCAGGTGCTAAGAATTGAGCCACACTTGCTTAGGGAAGGAGAGAGTCTCCCTTCTACATTAGAGCCCCAGGGTACTGGTTAAGAGCGTACTCTGGGTTTGAATCCTGGCTTTGCCACTTAATAGCTGTGTGACCTTGGACTAGTCATTTCAGGTCTCTGAGCCCCAGTTTTCACATCTGTACAATGGGGATGGTAATCATAGTCTCACCTTTTCTTCAGAGGATTGTGGAGAAGATTCAATGAAATGATGTGTTAGTTAAATAGGACGACATTGATTAAATAGTAGTGGTGGGGGTGCTTATTATCACTGGCATCAGGAAGGGGTCTCTGAGGATGACCACTCCAATGGGACCTAACTTCCAGGGGCTTCTGCTGATGGTCCCGTCCCCTCTCTCCCCGCTCTTAGGCCCTGGAGGAAGCACTGAGTCTGCAGACCTCTCCATCGTCTCCACCAGCAGCATTTGGGAGCCCAGAAGGAGCGGGGGGCCTCCTAAGGAAGCAGGAGCTGGTCACCCAGAACGAATTACTGAAACAGCAGGTGAGGCTGGGGGAGGAGGTCAGGTAGAAGGGCTCAGTGGGAGCTGGAGCATTCCTGAGGGTGGATGGATCTGGAAGTCACATGGAAGCTGGAATTTGTAGGCCATTTCTAGCCATCAGCCAGGACCTCTTCCTGGTTATGAGTTTCTCCATTCCGGAAATGTATCCCTGATTTATGTCATTCCTCTACCACCTTCGGAAACCCTGGTGGCATAGTGGTTAAGTGCTACGGCTGCTAACCAAAAGGTCAGTAGTTCAGATCCACCAGGTGCTCTTTGGAAACCCTATGGGGCAGTTCTGCTGCATCCTATAGGGTCAACAGAGTCAGAATAGACTCGATGGCAGTGAGTTTGGGTTTTTGTTTTTTTTTCCTACCATCTTAATGCACCACCTGTGCTATTATTTACCTAGTATTTTTTTTTTTAATTGAGGAGAAATTCGCCTGACATAAATTTAACTATTTAAAAGTGAACAATTTGGTGGCATTTCATTCACAACAGAGGTGGTGTAACTGCCGCTTTTATTGAGTTACCACACATTTTATCACCCCAGTGGGAGCTTATTTGCTACACTTTTGATCCTCCTAAGTCATCTCTCACCAGGTCAGCATCATGCTGATCTGCAAGAAGGATGAAAACAACAGGCTTGGGCAGCATGGTGCACGGCAGAGGTAGGCTTATCCCAGCCCCTCTGCCAGGGCACCCTGCAGTCTGCTCCCGGAGCCAGGAGACCCAAATTCCAGTCCTCCACCCACACTCTGGTTCTGTGACCTCTGTCTCTCCGTGGGTCTTCCTAGAATGAAAGGGTTGAGCTGGTGGATGGCTTTCAGCCTTTCTTTTTCAGTCATGAATTCTTTGTTCAAATAAAGTCCTACTTCGAAGGCCAGAATATAAAACAGGAATGCAGAAATGCCCTTATTGAAGTTGGGGATGGGGGATGGAGGTACACTTGTTCACTCCCCACGGTCACCCTGAGACCTGGTGAAATCAGCCCAATATCTGGGACCCCCAGCAGGAGGCATGGGTTCTGGGCCTGAGCGGGTCTGAGCCTTCACTCCCCACCCCCCTACTCCCTCCAGGTGAAGATCTTTGAGGAGGACTTCCAGAGGGAGCGCAGCGATCGAGAGCGCATGAATGAGGAGAAGGAAGAGCTGAAGAAGCAGGTGGAGAAACTGCAGGCCCAGGTCACCCTATCGAATGCCCAGGTGAGAGTGACTGGATGCAGGAAAGGGTAGTTGGCCTGTCCTTACGGGGAGGGGGGGGGCGTGGGTGGGATGCTCCCTGGTGAGACTGGGATACTCACTCACTGGTTCTACTTCCAGCTCTGCTGCCAGAATCCTGTGTGATCTTGGCAAGCCCTTCCCTTGTCTGACCCTTTGTGCCATAATGAGATTTAAACTCCACTGCTTCAAGATAACCTTCTAGCTCTGACAGTCCCTAATCTATGTTGATGTCTTAAAAGAGCAATTTAGGAGTTGGCCCTGAGCCACCCACTGTCTTCCAAAATGGAACTAAAAGATGCTAAGTACTGAAGCATGGAAGCAGCAAGGCTCACCTGATCCCTCCTGCCCGTTGGGCAGATCACCCACGATGACCAGGGCTCACCTGCAGCGGACAGCTGGGCCTTCCGCGGGGGTGACCAACCTCTGGCTCTGCCAGGAACTGCCTGTGCCAACAGTCTTCTCCTTCTCCCTCCTCCTCTCAGATAAAAGCGTTCAAAGACGAGGAGAAGGCCAAAGAAGCCCTCAAACAGCAGAAGAGAAAAGCAAAGGTGAGGCTTGAGGGAGGAAGCAGCACTGCCTCATCTTCCTTCTTCAGAGAGCTACAGTCTCATGGGAGAGATAGTGTTTGCTCAGATGTCCCACACTCTGTGGCATCTGACTAATGAGTTGTGAGTACAGGTATGGCACTTAGAACCATACTTGGCACAGAGGGAGTGCTCAGGACATGTTAATTGTCATCGTTGATATTCATTGCCTGTGTACCAGCCTTCCCTGCCTGTTATCAGCCTCCCGTGCCCATGAACCAGGCTTCCCTACCCATGTACCCAGCCTTCTGTGCCTGAGTACCAGCCTCCTGTCCCCACGTACCGGGCTTTTGTGCCCATGTACCATGTACCCAGCCTTCTGTGCCCATGTGTCAGCC